TGGTAAAGGGAATGTGTGGTGATGATCTGTTGGTAAAGGGAATGTGTGGTGATGATCTGTTGGTAAAGGGAATGTGTGGTGATTATCTGTTGGTAAAGGAAATGTGTGGTGATTATCTGTCGGTAAAGGGAATGTGTGGTGATAATCCGTTGGTAAAGGGAATGTGTTGGTGGTGATGATCAGATGGTAAAGGGAATGTGTGGTGATGATCCGTTGGGAAAGGGAATGTGTGGTGATGATCTGTTGGTAAAGGGCATGTGTGGTGATTATCTGTTGGTAAAGGAAATGTGGGGTGATTATCTGTCGGTAAAGGGAATGTGTGGTGATAATCCGTTGGTAAAGGGAATGTGTGGTGATGATCAGATGTTAAGATGTTGATGAAGATCATGTGTCTAAATGGTCAGTTGGTAAGATGTTGATGAAGGTCATGTCACTAATTGATCAGTTGGTAAGATGTTGATGAAGATCATGTGTCTAATTGATCAGTTGGTAAGATGTTGATGAAGATCATGTGTCTAATTGATCAGTTGGTAAGATGTTGATGAAGATCATGTGTCTAATTGATCAGTTGGTAAGATGTTGATGAAGATCATGTGTCTAATTGATCAGTTGGTAAGATGTTGATGAAGGACATGTGTCTAAATGATCAGTTGAAGGGAATATGTGCATATAATCAGTTTGAAAATAATGTGGATCATCATTTGGTTGAAAAAAAGTGAACAGATGGTGAATTTAAACTTAATAGTGCAAGTCTGTCGTGTACAAAATGTAGTTCACATAAAACTATTTATAATAAAAATAAGTTCTGAAGCTTATGAAATCCAATAGAACCCGGTTATGTTGGAAGACATTTATTAGTACATAGTACCTTCTTGTAGGGCTATTTTTGTTTCATTTACTTCCAACACTATTTACAGGAAGTGGTGGTGATGACAGTGGATCGTGGCTTTAACTTCCCCCTTCACATCACGGTCAACTTGTTGCTGACCACACCACCTGATTCTGGCCATCCGGCCATCAAAATGGACTGTGACACTATTAAGGCTGGTATCCAAGGGAAGGTTGATAGTCACTGTGATACTGGTGTACAGACTGTGTGTGAACAGTCAGTGACAGGCTGTGATATAGGAGTACAAACAATACCACCTCTGGTACAACTAGTGCAGGGCTCAGAAAAAGGTGTTCAGACAATCTCTCGTGTGAGCCAGCGAGTAGAGGCTTCTGATAAAGGTGTTCAGACAATCACTTGTACCAGTCAACCTGTGGGATGGTGAAGGTGTTCAGACAATCACCTGTACCAGTCAACCGGTGGTATGATGAAGGTGTTCAGACAATCACCTGTACCAGTCAACCTGTGGGATGGTGAAGGTGTTCAGACAAATCACTTGTACCAGTCAACCTGTGGGATGGTGAAGGTGTTCAGACAATCACTTGTACCAGTCAACCGGTGGTATGATGAAGGTGTTCAGACAACCACTTGTACCAGCCGACCTGTGTGATGGTGAAGGTGTTCAGACAATCACCTGTACCAGTCAACCGGTGGTATGATGAAGGTGTTCAGACAACCACTTGTACCAGTCGACCTGTGTGATGGTGAAGGTGTTCAGACAATCACTTGTACCAGTCAACCTGTGGAATGATGAAGGTGTTCAGACAATCACTTGTACCAGTCAACCTGTGGGATGGTGAAGGTGTTCAGACTATCACTTGTACCAGTCAACCTGTGGGATGGTGAAGGTGTTCAGACTATCACTTGTACCAGTCAACCTGTGGGATGGTGAAGGTGTTCAGACTATCACTTGTACCAGTCAACCTGTGGGATGGTGAAGGTGTTCAGACTATCACTTGTACCAGTCAACCTGTGGGATGGTGAAGGTGTTCAGACTATCACTTGTACCAGTCAACCTGTGGTATGATGAAGGTGTTCAGACAATCACTTGTACCAGTCAACCTGTGGTATGATGAAGGTGTTCAGACAATCACTTGTACCAGTCAACCTGTGGTATGATGAAGGTGTTCAGACAATCACTTGTACCAGTCAACCTGTGGTATGATGAAGGTGTTCAGACAATCACTTGTACCAGTCAACCTGTGGTATGATGAAGGTGTTCAGACAATCACTTGTACCAGTCAACCTGTGGTATGATGAAGGTGTTCAGACAATCACTTGTACCAGTCAACCTGTGGTATGATGAAGGTGTTCAGACAATCACTTGTACCAGTCAACCTGTGGGATGATGAAGGTGTTCAGACAATCACTTGTACCAGTCAACCTGTGGGATGGTGAAGGTGTTCAGACAATCACTTGTACCAGTCAACCTGTGGTATGATGAAGGTGTTCAGACAATCACTTGTACCAGTCAACCTGTGGGATGATGAAGTTGTTCAGACAATCACTTGTATCTAATATATTTGAATGTATCACCACCAGACAGTGTGTTATATGACTCTTGGGTTCGTTACTTCCAAGGTCAAGACAACAACAATGAGACAAACAGCAAACCATGCTGTCCACACTGAAACTGCTGAACAGCTCACTGTGTTTTTTGTGTGTGTCAAACTTCATTGAGGATCTATCACAAGTTATTTCGTCATGTATAACTCTCTCATTCAACTTCTGTGTATTTATATTATAAAGGTTAATTGGTTGTTATATAATAGATGGACAAAATGTTTACAAGTGTGGGAGCCGTTATCTCAGGGTCAAGCTCACAGCAAAAGGTCAAAAGGTCAAATTATAATACTCGAGTATTGTTTATTACAAAGCTTGTGGGTCTGTTGATTTTATGAAATTTCCTAGGTGGATGTATCAGAATTGGAAGATAACAGGAAGTCGTCAAACATCATGTCATTGTAATGCTTGTCTGTGACAGACTAGATATTTCAACAGAATGCCATTGATGGATGTATTCCGTCTTTGCGTATTGAAGAGTTATCTTCTCTTGGGAGCAGGTATTGATTGTTACGTCATAGGTCTGTGTGAGAAAATTACGTCGTTTTCCCAAAAATTGATGACGTTACTCTCACAAACAAGTGACGCAACAATCAATACCTGCTCCCAAGAGAAGATAACTCTGCAATACGCAAAGACGGAATAAAGAATACATTACCTTTGTCATAGAAGGGGAATATTACAGTCTGTATTACCTAGAACCCTGTGTTTGTAATTATACCCACTGCAAAGAAGTAATGTGTAAAAGTAAAATCAAATTACAGGAGTTACCTGGTTTGGCCGTTTGTCTGTAGACATCAACTTGTCTGGACAACTCGTTCTTTCCATCATTTCTTTCCATCTGATTTTCTTGAAACTTTGTAGGCCAAGTCACCACATATGAAGTTGTGATACGTCATACTGATCAATGATTTTTGACAGAGCTAGCGCCCATTTTATAAGTTTGCAATCAGCTTCTTTGGTACCTGGTAGAATTTAACTACCATACAGTCTTACTGCAGTTCTTATGACATTTTTTGAGACCATGAATATATATTGATGAGCAGGGGGTATAAAAGTTAGCCTTTGGCTTACAGTTCTAGCTTTTGAGATTTACTTTGTGGGATGGACTATGTTAAGTGCACAGTAGTGATTACTATCTATGTCAAAACTTAACATGTATTGTGTGGATTTTTCTAAGAATCTCTTTTTGTTTTCATTTAGTCAGTTGGGAAAAAAAATGATCGTAATATACAAATGTTGAGTTTACTTTTTGTGGTCATTGGCAAGGTTAATTAAGCTCACCTGACACAAAGTGTGTGTAACATTATTGCTAGAGTGACATCCATCCAGCGTTATCTTTTTAAAGTCACCTGAATCACATAGGTGATGTTTCTAATTGCCTTTCTTCCATCATCATATGTCGTGTGTAAGCCATTATTTTTAGCTCACCTATTCGAAGAATAAGGGGGCGTATGTAGTCACCCCGGCGTCCCACTTCACTGAATTTAAGTTTTTAGCTCACCTGCCTGAAGGGCAAGTGAGCTTATGCAATGGTGCGTCGTCCGTCGTCCGGCCGGCCGGCGTCAACTTTTCAATTTAAACAACTTCTTTTCAGTAGCCAAAAGGCCTAGGATGATGATATTTGGCCAGTAGCATGCTGGAATCAAGGGCTACCAAGTTTGTTCAAATGAATGACCTTCATCCATTTTCAAGGTCACGGGGGTCAAATATGTTAAAATCTTTGAACAACTTCTCCTGAAGAACCAAGAGGCCTAGGGTGATGATATTGTTCAAACAAATGACCTTCTCCCATTTTCAAGGTCACAGGGGTCAAATATGTTTAAAACCTTTAAAACAACTTCTGCTGAATAACCAAGAGGCATAGGGTGATGATATTTGGCCAGTAACATGCTGGGATGAAGGGCTACCAAGTTTGTTCAAATGAATGACCTTCATCTATTTTCAAGGTCACAGGGTTCAAATATGTTAAAAACCTTTTAAACAACTTCTTCCAAATAACCAAAAGGCCTTGGATGATTATATTTGGCCAGTAACATGCTGGGATTAAGTGCTACCAAGTTTGTTCAAGCATATGACCTTCAACCATTTTCAAGGTCACAGGGGTCAAATATGTTAAAAACCTTTCAACAACTTCTTCTGAATACCCAAGTGGCATAGGATAATGATATTTGGCCTGTAACATGCTGGGATGAAGAGCTACCAAGTTTGTTCAAACAAATGACTTTCATCTATTTTCAAGGTCACAGGGGTCAAATATGTTTAAAACCTTTAAAACAACTTTTTCTCAATAACCAAACGGCTTTGGATGATGATATTTGGCCAAGAGCGTGCTGGGATGAAGGGCTACCAAGTTTTTTCAAATAAATGACCTTCGCCCATTTTGAAGGTCACAGGGGTCAGATATGTTAAAAACCTTTCAACAACTTCTTCTGAATACCCAAGAGGCATAGGATAATGATATTTGGCCAGTAATATGCTGGGATAAAGGGCTACCAAGTTTGTTTAAACAAATTACCTTTGCCCATTTTGAAGGTCACAGTGGTCAAATATGTTTAAAACCTTTAAACAACTTCTCAATAACCAAAAGGACTTGGATGATGATATTTGGCCAGCAGTATGCTAGGATGAATGACTACCAAGTTTGTTCAAACGAATGACCTTGACATATATTAAAGTTCACATGGGTCAAATATGTTTAAAACCTTTAAAAGTCTTCTTCTTAATAAGCAAAAGGCTAAGGGTGATGATATTTGGCCATTAACATGCTGGGATTAAGGACTACCACGTTTTTTCAAATGAATGACCTTCGCCCATATTCAAGGTCACAGTGGTCAATATATGTTTAAATCTTTAAATGACTTGTTCTGTATATCCAAAAGGTCCAGGGTAATGATATTTTGCCAGAAGCATGCTGGGTTGGACGACTATAAACTCTGTTCAATCTTATGTCCTTGCTGTATTTTAGTCCACTTTTAAGATTATTTGTGTGAGATTAATACCAGGTGAGCGATTCAGGCCCATTGGGCCTCTTGTTTCGAGACAGTGTTGGATCATCATACTCCATACACTGATGTGTATTATAAGGATAAGGCATTTTGTGGAGTGTAAGCAATTTGCTGAACCATATTCCATATTTAAGGGGCCAAAAACAGCTGAATTTGACTTGGTTAAAGTTTTGGACAAGATTTAGGTAAACTATTTTGGGAAAGTTATTTTGTGCAATGTTGGATCACCATTGTCAATAGGCTGTTGTCTATTACATTTGTATAAGGTTGACCCCTCCCCCNCCCCCCCCCCAGAAGACTTTAATTAAATTGAAATGTCTGAAATGAAGAAAGAAGAAAGTGAAATTGTGGCGTTTTTTAAGACTTCATATTAGTTTTATTATCTCTTCAGGAGAATATCTTTGTTACAAAAGAGTTGTTCTTATAATATGTGAAACATAATTCATTCTTTATATAGCGAGTCCAGATGTAGTTTCACAATTTATAGTGTCTCATCTTAAGTACATTATACAATACATTTCCTTTGATAACCTAGACAGGATCATTGTATGCCTGGCCACTGAGACACTACCTGGTACATGTATGTACCTTGTTGCCTGAGTGCCCCCTGTTTTACACCTCCAGGTGAGTGTTTGTCACTTCTATTACTTCGTCAATCCAGCTGCGGTAGAAGGCTACACGAGTATAGATCCCAGGAAAGTCCTTTCTTCCACACTCATTCCCCGTGGATACCACGCCCACTAATTTCCAGCGATCATCTTCTGGGCTCTGACACATCAGTGGTCCCCCCGAGTCACCCTGAAAATATGAATGAAGGTTAGCATTGTTACTTCAATTTTACAAACCAATCACTGGAAATTTCCAAGAGCATTATTCTTTAATATGAAAAACTTTGAAAATCGATAAAAAAAATCAATCACCATAAATACTAATGAAAACAGTAACTTGTATAACATCAATGTCTGTGGCTTACCAAGCAGGCATCATGACCCTCATTGGAACCTGCGCATATAGTTGTCTGATCTATGAAGAAGGTCTGTGTTTTTGATGCGGAGTACATTTCACTGCATAAGTCATTATCAATCAAACAGACAGAGGTGATTAGAGGAATAAAATTCCCCCAACCATAGGGATCTGAAAGGTCAAAGTTCAACGATAAGCATGGATAATATAACAAATACAAATTATATAGATAATTAAACATATAAAAAGGACAAAAAGTGAAATACAATGTACAAGTTATATCCCAGCCACAACTTACGGAAAGAGACTTGGCCCCATCCCGCTACAGAACATTGCTGACCAGGTTGGAATTCTCCATCATCTAGATCAGCTAGGTCTTCCAGTTGTAGCTGTTCGATTGGCCTCAACTTCAGCAGAGCTATGTCATATAGCAGGGTGTTCACTACAACAAGCAGAAAAATACCAGGTTGCTTCTAAGATGTAAGTCAGAAAACAAGTTATAAACTAAAATGTTTATCTGAGAACAAGATATCAACTAAAATGTACATCTGAGAACAAATTGTACAAATGGTTGGGCTGACCCCCCAGGGGGCTGAGGGGCAGGGCCAAAAGGGGTCATTTTGGCTATATTGCTACAAACGACTTCTTCTGTAGAACTATGCACTGGATATCAATCATATTTAATCAGAAGCATTCATGGGAGGAGGGATTCAAAATTGTACAAATGGTGTGGCTGACCCCCGTGGCGGCTGAGGGGCGGTGCCAAAAAGGGTTATTTAGCTATTTTGCTTTAAGCGACTTCTTCCGTAGAACTATACCATGGATATTGATCATATTTGGTCGGAAGCATTCGTGTACAAATGGTGGGGCTGACCCCCCGGGCTAAGGGGATTGGGCCAAAAAAGTGTATTACTTGGAAATGGTTGAGATCCCCACCATATAATCATATATACAATTGCTGAGTATAAAGAGAGGAATGCACATTTGCTTCCAGGATGGCTCTAGGGTCTGGCCCCACCCTTGGAGATTTAACTCCTGGGTCATAACTTTGAAACGGTTAAAATCCCCACCCCAAAACTATATATACAATTGTTGGGCATAAAGAGACGAATGCAGTCATGATATTAGAATTGACCCCAGGGTCTGCCCCACCATTGCAGACATAACCTCTGGGTCATAACTTTGAAACGGTTGAGATCCCCACCCCAAAACTATATATACAAATGCTGGGCAAAAAGAGACAAATGCAGTCATGATATTAGAATTGATCCTGGGGTCTGGCCACAACCCTAGGGACCTAGTTTCTGAGTCACAGCTTGGTAACAGGTGAGATCCCCACCCTATAACCATACATAAAATTGCTGGGCATAAAAAATCAAATAGAGAAATGCTACAAGGATTGGCCTTAGGGGTCTGGCATATTCCCTTGGATCTCATTTGGAGAATATTTTGCCATGATTGCTTAGATATCCAGGTGAGCAATACAGGCCCTCTGGGCCTCTTGTTGATGTATCTGAGAAGTTAAACTTATTGATGTATCTAAAAAGTTGAAATTATTGTTGTACAAGATAACGTGAAATTACTGATTTAGCCGAGGTGAATTTTTTGACAAACTTGAGAAAGGTGAATTTATTGACATAGCTGGGAATTCTACCTTAGTGATTACCTACCTGAGAAGTTGCTATGGAGATGTATTTCATCAATGTGTGCTTTGATCTCCCCAGCCTCTTTTTTGTACTGATTGTACTCTCCTATCACAACATCCCAGTTGTCAGGGTTACTGAAGCCTTCATGCACGTCCTCACTGTAAAGTTATAGACCTTGGATATATCATATACACATTCTACACATCATACTTACACAATCCATATTATATATTGTACCAGGGGTATTCGCCTCATTGTACATAGTCACTTCCCTTTTTACTATCACACTCTCAGTCCTGATAATCTAGTCACCGGTATACCATCCAATGTATCTCCCTGAAAAATCCAAAGCAGCCCATTACTGTACCCATGGCCTACGTACTGGTGAGTAGAGTATCTTAGAGACTCAGACAAAATTTTGCAATTACTCCGGGCAGAGTGACTATGTGCCTATCCCTTCATCAATGGGCTCACTTTATCAATTGTTGTCTTTTATTTATATTTAGATATGACTGCCCCCTTTGATAATCCCTGAAGCATTGTCCCGCCCCACCCCTATTGGTGATACCTAAAGCAGTGTCCCGCCCCACCCCTGTTTATACTACCTGAAGCAGTGCCCTGCGGTGAGGACCCACACAGGGTTGGTGCTGATGATGGTACCACCACACACATGCTGCATGCCCGTTTTCTCTGTGAACACGATTGGGCGTAAGAAATGAAGAGAGACCAACCATGGCCATTGGTCACGCTCCATGGGCGTACCCACCACCACACGCTTCCCGTGTTCCTCCTCAGAGTTACTGATGCCAAGTGACTCAGTCCCATACTGTCGCGTCCATGTTTTATACTCATTGCGCCTCTCCTCTGTTGGTTTATCGTCTCTGATTACGGCATTATCTACCTCGTGTGACAGGAACTCTTGTACACAGTCCTCTAGTCGACGAATCTCGTCCGCAGGCGCAGAGTTGACGCGGTAGCTCCCCCATACAAGAACTACGACTGTCAGCAAGACCACTAAAATGTATGTATTGGAAATTACGACATGATATATTGAAAAATTCACTAATGGTCACTTTACTATATCACAATGATCCACATGACCATTATTATGTCTTGTTCTTCATTATCTTGGCCGTAACTTAGATATCCTGATAAAGCTTGACGTCTGCATACAGTTCAAGAAAGTGCTAATTGTCAGTGATTTTTTGTCTGACGTGTAGATTTTAAGCAGTTGAAAGTATATTGCTGAAACTTAAAGAATTTCCGTGTTTCATTTTCTGTAAAATAATAACGTAGAAAAAAATTAAAGATGCCTGATAAAAATTGAAGAAAATTAAAGATGCCTGATAAAAATTGAAGCATGATAATAATAATAAACTTTGCTTATTTTTAAACCTAAAACTATCATCTTAAATATAAATCGCTGCTCTATCGGATCTTTGGAAATGTGGGACTGTGCTGCATAACATCATAAATGTTATAAAGATGCATTTCAGTCCATCAATACATACATTTCACAATCACGTTAATAGCAACACATTGCAGAAAATTGTCATGATCAACATACATTAAAGCATCGCATTTCAACGTACCAACTAATAAAACAATCCATTTGATGTCAAAGTTGGAGTAGCACCAATGATAATGTTGTAATGAATGTCACAATTAAGGACGAGCACATCGGGTTAAGCGGTCCCCTAGAATTGGTGTCGATTACTGCGTGAAGAGTGCCGCCCAAATGATAAACCATGGATGAATAATACAATTAGATTGAAAATGAGACAACGAAATAGAATTCACCGAAAAGCTAAACTAACAAATAATCCCCATTATTGGGAACAATTTAGAACCCTATGAAATGAAACTATTGACCTTATCCGTGAGGCAAAAGCAAACTTTATAAAAAAAATCTTGAAAAGTCATTAAATGATAATGTGGTTACTCCAGACAAATGGTGGAAGATAGCTAAATCTATTACCAATTTTTCTAATAAGTCATCTTCTATTCCACCACTTGAATCCAACGGCCAAATAATCCATCATCCAACTGAAAAAGCAGAGCTTCTTAACAATCACTTCACTAATATTTCTACATCAACACCTGACCTTGAATTACCCCAAACAGCACAACCCAATGCCCCCTATTCACTATCAAACATTCATATCACTGAACAAGATGTTTCCGATCAAATTAATATACTCAACACTAATAAACCCCCAGGCTCTGATGGTGTTATTCCTAAAATTGTGAAAAAGCTTCATGCTTCTCTTAAATTACCTCTTATGTTATTATTCAATAAGACACTAGAGTCTGGTATAATACCTTTTAGTTGGAAACAAACAAATGTTAATGCTATTTATAAAGGAAATGGCTCATCTAATGATGTGTTAAATTACCGACCAATTTCAATTACATCATGCTTCAGTAAAA